TGTGTGTGCGTGTGTGTGTGTGTGTGTGTGAAAGTAGGATGTACTGTGTGTGTGTGTGAAAGTAGGATGTACTTCCCCGATCTAACATCGCTTTTTCTTTTCCACCTTCTAAGGCATTATCATTGTGAGACATGTGGGCCCAAACAGATCAAGCACCAATAATCTTCTCATTTACAGTAATGGCGACCGTCAAACCGACCGCGACCCACAAAGGATGTGAGGCGCAAGACTCTTCACAACAGCCACCAGTCTTTTAACACACAACCGACATGTGAGGCCACTTACGCAAACTCTTTGAGTGGAATCTCATTAGCGTCCATTCAGGAGAACGGCCCAGCTGACGGTACGTTTGGTATACAGCACTGCCAACCTGGCAAAATTATCCTAAACAAGCTCAGCGGTTGGGGAAGTAACGTATGGCAAGAGGAAACAACCCTACATAATGTGGCTAGGATATTTATTTAAGGTAGTGGCTTGGAGCGTTGCCACAACACATGAACTTTACTCGAAACGGTTTCAACTTTACCTTTGCTTTATACTCGTCTGAGATTGAAATCTTCCAAGAAAAACAAGCTACCGTTCGCCCTGAACAGAATCTACAGGCACACTTTCTCAAAGCTAAGGTATTCCCAAACAAGGGATACAACAGAAGAAAAAAAGACTGTTCTTCTTTTTTTTTTTTTTGATTCGCCGCAAACTTTGTATTAGGCCAACGCAAATGGCACAGAACAAAAGCAGCATCAAAACAAACTAAAATCTTACAATGATGACTCAATGTAGGCAAGACGTGATTGGCTTATGTAGGGAAAAGTTCTTTGCGCGTTAAGTAAAATACATTGGCAATATCTTCAGACACGTCTCGGTGAAAATGTGACCCTCCGTGTGTGAACCATTTTTTTTCAGTCATTGTGACAGCTAATGATCAGAGCCATTGCGGAGTATTTAAATAAACTATTGTAGGCAAAGGAGACCCAAAATCCAAACAGCAGCTATGTACACTGCCCCAGCTTGTGACACTAACGAAGAGGAGTTGCATAGATTGGAAAACAAAATATGCGGAACATCTGTGGTCGGTTTATCCAGCCCAGTACCTTTCGCAAGTCGTTGGAGAAGGCCTCAAACTGCGGGTACGCATTTTCCCACCCAATCCAGTTGTTTCTCACTCATCACGACTTCAAATAACGTGATGAATACCAGTTTGCCAACTCCGCCAGGAATTCAAGTCAAAGGCACTTGAACACGCGGATGGTTGTCAAACAATAAATATAGCCCTATCATGAAGTTGGGTTCTTACTTCTCGGAGTATGATGTAGTCGCTTTATTGTGTGTCCATGCAAAACTGTTTAACACAAGTAAAATCAGGTGAAACATTCCTGACACACAAACATTGACGTTTGATTTTGACGTTCAAGGTATCTCGAGATATCGGTCTACATTATGAAGTTATTACTAGACTGATTTCTACAAGATATCAATCGAACTATTGGTGGGTGTGCCCTTCATTTTCAAAATATCATTGCAATAACAAAAAATAACTGTAGAAGTTCCACGCCTCGATCGGCAATATTTGGATCATTTGGAAGGCTGGCTGCTTCGGCCCTGTCTATAAGGGCCAACACAGGCTGCGAGAGATAGCCTTGGTGAACAAACTCTGCGATGAGATTGACAATATTAAAATTTCAAAGCCCGTCCCAAGAGTGCGGACAACAACAACAATAACAAAAACAACAACAACAATAACAAAAACAACAACAACTTTGTGACATTTCTCTTCTACATCCAAAGACAACGCTATGACATACAGCATAAATGACACGACCTCCAAGGAATACTCTAGAGTAGGGGTGGATAAACTACGGTCCACGGGGCAACCGCGCCCCTCGTGAGGCCCGTGGAAACATTCGATGAATTTTTAAAGGATGGAATAGATACATCTTTGCAAAAACGATCGTATTCCTGAAATCACAAGAGCCAAGACTAGTTTTCGTAGGAAAACTGAACAGCTGGGATCCTTTCAAATTGCTGTTTGTGACCGAGCCAAAATGGCCACCGATTAGAAACGTTTACCCGTCCCTGCTCATGAGAAAGTTCCCTACTCACCGCTTTGTTGCTGCAGTAGATCTGCCATTTTTTCTCCTTTGGCAGGCTGTAGAGGGCATCCCTATGACTTTTGTCTAATCCAAGTTCCGCCTTGGTGAGGGATCGCCACGTCACACGTAGAGAAGAGGAGATGGTCCAATGGGTACAGATTTGGGATGCAATAGAAGAATACATTATGTCAGAAGAAAATCAAGGAACTGTTTACTGTTATAGGCTACGCTTTCGACGACGAGCTACTTTTGACTTGTCATTAATAGTTTTCCCTGTTTCCTGATTCTCAAATTTCTCTTTCCTACCATAGCACTGATAACAGATTATGGCGGGAAACAGAGGGGGCAGAAACCAACATAATTTCGATAGGACTTGCAGAAGCAGTCAATGGGACCGCTTCTTGGAGAGACCACCAGCAACACTTTCTATTTCCTCGCGTATAGACGGTGGAAAACCTTTCAATGTTATACATGGGTGGATCAAACAGTGATAGAAGTTGTGTTTACCAATTAGTTATTACTCTAGACAATCAAAGGAGATACAAAAGGTTTAATCACAACATAAAATATCTTGCAATGGTAACGGACAACGTTCCAAGAATAGCGAAAAAGTTGGGACCTGGAACACCTGAGGCTTGACCAACAAAGAATAATGCAGCGTTAGATCTCCATCTTCAGTACTGCAGACACAAGAAAGAAATGAACAATAGAAAAGGAAACAGATTCCCACTTTGTTCTTATAAGGAGTGGAGTAAGCAAGGAACAGATGGCAACACACGGTGTTGGTATAATCTTACACCCGAACAAGGCAAAAGAGCCCATAAGTACAAACCACATTTTGAAAAGACTCATCAAAATCAGAGAGGGCGATACGTTTGCCAACTATATCCAAATTTACGTACCATGCAAAGACTTCTACTCAGATGAAAAAAGACTCCTTCCTTTAAGCTCTCAGACACCATCGACAGCATATCGCGCATAGAAGACCTGTACATTATAGGAGATTTCAATGGCACAGTTGGAGAGGAAGAAACCCGTGAAAAAAGCACCTCCACCCACAGAGTGACCAGAGAACACCCTTGCATCTAAAACGAAAACCACTTCCTGGATCTGTGTACACAGCACAACCAATAACCAGGAATGCCTTCTTCGAACACAATCACTCAGATTTACACCTGGTCCACAAGGAATGACATCAACGTCTCATTACAAATCAACTACATACAAACAAGATCTCGAACACGGAGGAATATCACAGACTCAGGGGAAATCCCCAAATGCATATATGGACAATGACCACAGGCCAATCATAATAAAGTTTGTGAGTCAGAAAAAAGAAAATGCTAATCAAGAAGAAAGCCACATAGAATTGACAAGCACACGCTCAAAAGGACAGAAGTGCAGGACGAAATCAGGAGCACTATCGGTGAGAAATTAGACCTGATCGACCCAACATTTTTGTAAACGTGGTGGAAGCTTGAAACGCTTTAAAAAATCGCTTCGAAAAGAAGAGACTCTACAGGAAATTGATTAGTTCAGAGAAAGAGGAAGACTATGTCAATTGCAGACTTGAAAGAAGAAACAACGAGCGAGTAGTGTACACTTCAAAGGAACATCCAATGGCTCAGTATGGTGAGAGACTAAGCGACATGAGAAAGGCTTCCCCCAAAGAGTTTTACAAGGATATGAAATCGGTGACAGCTCGAGACCAAAATTATAAAATGGGAAGCCTACTTCAAGGATTTACCAACCCTGTTGAGGTCACATGAGACAACGTCCAAGTTCAGTCATCCTGACCATGATTTTATAAGAACAGCAGTAAGTAACAGACGCAAGGGTAAAGCATCAGGAGAAAATGTCATAAACAGTGGAAACCATCCTTGCCTGCAACGAAACTGGAATTAAATGGCTCGCCGCTATCTTTCACAAAGAATGGGAGGACAGGAAGGTACCAGAAGACTGACAAAAAGGCAATAGCAGGGCCAATATGTAATAAGAAGGGCTGCAAAAGGACCGCAGTACATACAGGGGTATATAGTTTTTAAGCCATGTACGGAAAATGTATGCAATGGTAACGAAAAAGAGCAAAAGCAGAATATCAACTCGGTGGTGCTCAGTTTGGCTTCAAAAAGGAAGAAGATGCATTATTGCAACTTTGCACTACGACAGCTAAATGAAAGGGAGGTAGAATACCGCCGTGTCCTCCGTCTAGTGTTCTTCGACCAAGAAAAAGCGTTCGAGAGAGTCAGCTGAAGAAATTATATGGAAGGTCCTCGAGTGTGACATCAAGGAGCAACTGCTCGACAACATCAGAGCAATCTACACCAACAACTAAAGTGCAGTCCACACCACCAGAAGAATACCTGATTGGTTCCTGTTATATTCTTGGGTCTGACAAGGATGTGTACTCTCGATGTTGCTGTTTTTTTCATCTACATGGACCAGATTGCAAAGGAAGCATTCAACGATCTCCTGTTTGCGGTTGATCAAGAGATAATACACAACGACAGGACAATACTTCAGCAGCATACAAACTAGATAAATGCCAGCTTTTAAACATACGACAAGAAAATCAGTGTTAGTAAGGCAGAAGTCATGACCGTCAGTAGGAGACCGGAGGCTCAAAACATTTACATCAACAGCTCCCGATTGGAGCAAGCACCCGAGTTCACATCTCTGAGCAGCATCTTCTCTGAGGATAGCAACCTAGACAAAGAAATTGAGACAAGATGCCAGAATGCAAACGATGTCAGCCATCAACCAACTCACCCCTCTTCTGAGACATCCAAATAAAATGATGACCAATACGGTAAAATCACCAGTGCCATATTTGTACCAACGCTCACATACCAGTGGTCCCTGACAAAAGACCTTGAGAGTTAGATGTTCACCTGTTAAATGAAATATGAAATGCCTCAGGGGAAACAGTTAATAAGACCAGGAGACACACAATCAGGAATGACGCCATCAGAATGGTAGAGACAACACCAGTCCTACAACTCATCGCACAGCAAAGGAATACGTAGTTTGGCGGTCTTACAACAGCCAGCGCTTCGACCTTACAACACTAGATGCTCGGGCTGGAGAGCAAGAGAAAGATCAAGGTGACGATGGAGCGGATTTGTGGCAGAGACAAAGAACACAATCATGTCCCCCCTTCAGATCACTCGTCGGGCTCAAGACAGGCGACTGTATCTCCCCTCGACTCCCACCGGTATCAGCGGAAGGGAATAGTGAAAGAAAGTTAATAAATGGGGTATCCAGCAGGCACACATTTTTGTCTTAATATAAATAATATTTTGCACCGACCAAAACAAAAAATCTAAACTTGTCAATAAGTTCTTGTCTTGTATAGAGTATGGGGGTCTTGTGCGATATGGTGCTACACAACATAAAGAGTTTCTTCTTTCAGAGAGGTGGCCAGAACTTAGGTCATCAAAAAACTCTTACCAAATTCACTTACTCATCAATACACGGTGTTATATGAACAAGCAGATTCCCCACACACACTTTGCAAATTTTCATGAATCCCTTTTAACGATTCGTTAATATTACAGTGTACAAAGATGTAAAATAGATGAGGGGTTTTCTTGTGCAAACTTCGTCTTGTTTCCTCCAGAGCGAAAACCATCCGTTGTTACGCCATACAATGACCAATAGTGACGTTACATAAAACTCTTATGGTTGGTTTGAGAGAAGACATGTTTGAGATTAAATGTATTTAGTGTATTGCTTTTATGGTTGAAGTCAATATTTCAGCCGTTAGGTCGCAACTTCCATTACTTTCTGATCAGCCTTCGTAAGTACCGGCATTAATAATTTTTACTCCCCCCCCCCCTTTCCACCTTCCAAATAAAACAAAAAAATTAATGCAGAATGCTCGAAATAAAAGATATGACAAGACAACAGCCAGATAATTATTTGATAGATGCGGAGGAACTTACAACTACAACATTCTATGAAAAGGAAACGAAATGAATCTCAGTTCTCACCACTAACTCCTCAAATTTTGCGTTCAGCTCGTTCTCGTCTGAAGGCATGGGCGTGTCGAGCGAGACTGGCTGAAGTGGCGTGGCAAGATCCAGGCCATGTTTAATCTCGGGCGGCCGGGGGCTTCCACCGAGACACCAGCACAGGCTTTGTCCGGCCGGCATCTTGATTGATCTGAGGGAAACACGCATCAATAGGTAATATAATAAATGGTATTGCCATCATGACTGTTAACTATACTTTGACTAGTGACGTATAATGCTTTATCACTTTAACCAAAAAAGGATTAAAGAAAAATAATACATACGCCCCCGTCGACCCAGTTAAAACCATTATAATATAGAAATGGGGCTGCCTCGCCCCCTGCATTTCAGGGTGAATCCAGGGTGAATCCAGGCTGAGTGACAAAAGCATCCGTGCCTAAAGGCAGGGATATTTCAAGAATTATTTTTCCCCCACTAGCGGGGAACAAATTCATGCCTTTTGGTATCGAACAGCGATGAGCTTAGCTATTGCATCACAAACGCTGGTCCGCTAAAGCCAGATATTTTTCTCTTTAAAAAAAACCTAGCACAGGAGGAACTGTACCAATGATGCACAGTAAAGTACACACCATGTTTTTGGGTAAGAGATTTCTTTTTCTTTCTAAATTGGGGTGGGGGAGAGAGACTTGAGTACCTGCGTGAATTTGTTAACATTAACGCAGAGTACAAAAAGTCCAACGTAACTCCGATTAGCAACCACACTGGCAGAGTGCACGTGTGCTCTGCATTCAGCATATCCACATCTTGTGAGATCACGGGTGACAAAAAAAAAAGGAGGGCCCATTTAAAGGCAAATAACTCAGTCACCTTTACACCAATTTCAACGAAACTTTGAAGTAACAAAATTCAACCGGGGGCGGACATTATGTTCATGAGTACGAAATGAATCAACTGCTATTTGAAAAAATATAACGTTTTCTTTTTATTTCAGCCAAAATTGAGTGAAACGCAAAACTTTCCAACTTCTTACCAATCAACCACATTGTTTTATTTCAAAGAGTCATTATTTCTGTATTGAAGAACAAATTTATACCAGAAATTATATTGCCAAGAAAATCAGGGAGATGACGGCTATTTAAATCCTAGGTGTTGATCATTTCTCTCCACATAAGCTCCAACAAGCCACTGGAATTTTTAAATAACCACGTGGGATGTTTTTGGGTCGATTCTTGGAGCCCTATTCAACATTGAGTTTCAACTGTTCCATTATTTGCGGCTTGTTTCCGTAGACTGTTTATCAAAAGCCATAAAGGTAACAATAGTAAGGGCTAAAGTTTGGAGGAACATGGTGGCCATTCATTTGTAAACTTACGTCTTATAAATCGTTTCCTAAACCTTTCTTGCAACTACACAAAGGCCACTCAAGACACTCGGGGGTTCCACTGGAACCAGAACTCTACAGCATAACAACTTCTCCTCCCCAAACTTTTCAAAAACTTTCTCAGCACGGTGAGATATCCCTTGATGTGACTCTCGTGGTTTCGCAGTCTTTTTCCTGAAACCAGAACAGGTCGATAACACCATGTACTGCAGCTGGACGCTTTTAAGAAGCGAAATTTTGCGTTTTACCCAATTTTGGTTGAAATTATGAAAACTAGTTCTCGAAGGCGTCATATTTACAAACTTGATGTTCTCCTGGTTTATTTGTTCGAAGTTTTGTGAAAATTAGTACTCTGATGACCAAGTTATTGTCCTTTAAGTGGGTCCTCTTTTTGTTGGATACCCTGTACTGAACTTGTTCGTGCGCGAAGTCTGCTCTCTCTCTCTCTCTCTCTCTCTCAATTAGTTACTCTATCCAGGCCAGCTCGGTTTTTTTAAAATTCATCTTTCCGTCCGCCCGTCTATCTGTCCGTCAGTCCGTCCGACCGTCTGTCCGCCCCTTTGTCCATCCATCCATCCATCCATCTTATCTCAAACACTCACATATTGTATACAACATAGATACATGTGCGGACATAAACTAACACGTACACACACACACACACACACACACACTCACACGCACGCACGCACACACACACACACGCA